CCATTTAAACACCTAGAAAGATTTCTCTATAATCTTCTAGAAGGATTTTCTGTACTTTATAAACAATTTATAAACAATAAAAAAAAAAAAAAGTGTTCCGTTTCCTAGGTGGCCTCCTGTTATCCTCACAGGGCATCAACAGTGGAGGAAGCTCCATAGGCAGCAACGTCATTTAAAACAATCCCTGCTGTGAGACCATACAGAAGACAGCAGCTTATGTGCACTTTGGCCACCCTTGTAAGCTAGCCCTGAGTAACAGTGCAGTGACCTCTCTGGGCGAAAGGGGGTTTTAGCAACTTGTCTTTAAGTTCTGCCTAGCTTATTTCCATTGCCACCACTAATAAATTTGTAATACTAGAGTTTTTCGCTGTTTTGTGTTTGAGGTGGATCTCACTATGTGGACCAGGGTGGTCTGGAACTCCTTATTCTCCTGCCTTAGGAGGACTACTCAATGCTGGGAGTCTAGACATTTGCCACCACATCTGGTAATGCTTAACTGTTACCGAGTCTAAAGGCTTTGATAATGTGAGTGAAGGTAAATTCCTATTTATGAACGACTCCACTCATATCAATGTTATCAACTAGTTAAATAAACTCCAGAGGGAATGAGCCTATTAACTTAGTGTCTTCTAGATTTTTTGTGGGGGTAGTGGGAACCTAAGACAGGGTCTCACAGACTGGCCTCCAAATCAGAGAACTTCCTCTTCTGCCTCCTGAGCTATGAGATTAAAAGGCATGCACCATCATACCCAGCTTCACTTCTAGACTCTACATCTAATGGCATCTGTGTCAAGAGAAAGAACTGGAAATGGTTTATGAGGGAGCACTCAAGCTCTAATGGCTGTTCTTTCTTCCTGTGTGACACTGCACAACCTCAAGCACACTAACTTGCCATAGCCTCCAGAGTGCACCAGGCCCCAGGGGAGAGACCCTTCTGTTGGAGGTTGGTTAACACTGTTTCTTTACACAGCAGTAAGAGAGCAATAGATAGCTAAATTCACCAAAACGAAAGTGCTTGGTGTTTAGTTCATTAAAATATTTCTGAGACACAAAGCTAAGAAGACAATACATTATTTTTCAAAGCCAGAAAACTCTCAAATTAAGAGTATTCTGATAAGGACATTGCAGCCAGTCCTGAAGATACCTGATAAGCTAGGATCAGATAGAAGGGGAGGAGGACCTCCCCTCTCAGTGGACTCGGAAGAGGGCAGGAGGAGATGAGGGAGGGAGGGGAGGATTGGCAGGGAAAGAGGGAGAGGGCTACAGCTGGGATACAAGTGAATGTATAAAATTGTTTAAAAATAAAATAAAAAAAGAGTATTCTGTTTAGGAATGCAAAGGGAGAGCATGGGTCTGGGTATCTCATATGTAACCACATTTTAAAAGGCCATATATATTTTTTTTCAATATTATAGTCAATATTTTCCTAATCTTTAAACATACAAAACATTTTAAGTACATATGGAAGTATCCCACCTGTAATTTTAAAGAAAAATTTTAACAATAGCTCATTTATGCCAAGACTGTATATCCAAATCATTACTATTAAACATTTAGGTAGGTACTCTCACATAAAACTTAATAAACAAGAAAACATAAACAACAGCTGAACAAAGATAACATCATGAGGTAGTCACAGCACCATCTTGTTTTGACAATGAAAATAGGGGGCTGGAGGGTTGGCTCAGAGGTTAAGAGTACTGACAATGAAAGTAAAAATAAAGAGGCCAAATAATCTGATGACCTTATAGAACATCAGAAATGTCCTGAAATCAAGATGAGCATCTTGCTTGCATCTTGGCTAGTGCCAGTAATCCTCAGTTGCATGAAAGGTTTGAGGCCAGCCTGGACTACATTAAGAAACCATCTCAAAAGAAAACAAAACACAAAAGCAGGATAGGCATCTTGAAATCTGTTTTCAGTATTATCAGTATAATGAAAATATTAGACCATTATAAGCCTATAATCTCAGTACCTGGTAGGCAAGGGAAGGAGACTGAGAGGGGAAGGCCAGTTCAGGTTACATAATAAGACTCTATCTAAAAACAAAATAGAAATAAAACAAAAATGAGAAAGAGTTAACATTTTCAATGTTTTCTATGAGGAATGAAGATAAAAGGCAACTCTGAACTATTCCCAAGTCTACATGAAAATTCTAGACCACCAAGAGGGTTGCAGCTTGGGAATGCAGGGTTGGGAATGCAGCTCAGTGCTACCTATCCCCAGGCAGGTCGTAGGTGACACACCCAGCACCACAAGGTTTATGAGAGGGTAGAAGGGCCCACGAGACCGGATGCTGGTGTACTGTCAAAGGCAGTTTTAAACATATTTTACTTCTGACTCAGTACTAGTGACCAACAGCAAGCCAATGCAAATCTGTACAGTAAACTTCAGGCATGCAGCTAAACATCACAGGGTAATCTGTGAAGCCCAATACCAAGGGAATTCAAACAGTCTGATTACATACGAATAACATGTAACACCAGTGAGTCTGAACTCATACATATACAGGTCCAACTGCACATCCCTCCACTGAGCAGCTTATTCGTGACTGGAGTGGAAGCTGTCCAAAGCCTATATTGCTAACTTGTGTCTACACAGAGAGAGAGAGAGAGAGAGAGAGAACCCCCTCAAAAAAACCAATCAGGAATACTCTATAACTACCATGAGAACAACCATAGGAAAAGCTGTGGTTCTTCTTAAGAAAATTGTTCACCAACAAAACTATTCTAATAATTAATGTAAACTGTTGTTTAGCATTATTCAAGGTTTTGTTAAATTTAGGTTGTGGGTTTTAAGACAAAATTACATGTTTTATATTGTAATTGCCTGTAATCTAGTCATTAAAGAGTCTTGGTATAGTATCTGCTGATAATTTAGATAGATACAGTAAACCCATCATGAGGGAATGGCAACATTCACCTCAAAGCTAAAAATGTTACTTTAGTTTTAGCACTGCTACTGGGCTCTGGAACAGCTATTTTAATCCAACTATCCAGATGTAAAATAGTTTGTAAAATGCATTGTCTGAGATAAGTTTCCATACAAGCAATAGTGACTACCTGGAAAAAAAAAAAAACACAGTGATGTCCAAAAAAAGATGACAGGTAATTAGCTTATACATTGGATTTTCTGCCAATAATCTATTTTCTTGGCCAGTCTAAAAAGCACCTATGCTTCACGACCTGCAAGCCTAACATCAGAAAACAGGAGCTGAGGAGCAACCTCCATTTTAGATATTTCCTTGGACAAGTAACAAGGTAAGTGTATCAGGGTGGCTCTGACATGGCATTTCTAGTATCTAAGCACTGAAACTCATGATTTAAGAGATGATAATATTGTAGGCCATTAAAGAAACTCTAAATGCTTGGAGTTTATGGTAGTGCACACACAATGCACCCTGGTTCTTCTGTGTACGTTTGAAGTGTAGGAGTGCACATTTCTAGGAAATTTGTTTTCAGCATCAAACAAATTTCTAATCATAGACACAAAAGATTCTAAAGTCCTATACTCAATATTCACTGTGAAAAAACTCTTACAACAATATAATTTTGAAACTACAATTGACCAACACTAGGAGTAAAATGACCTCTTAACCAGGTCAGTTTCCTCTCCAGGCCATAGCTGTGATATTCTACAGACTGACAGCTATATACAGAACACTGCTGCATAGTCTGTGTGGTCATCACCGTTTTCTGCTCTTTCTCAAGCCTGAGGCTAATTCGGCACTGCATGAATATATAATCATTTCACACAGAAACACAGAACACTGGAGTTTGGGAAAGCACTACTTTGAACTGCGCTAACTTTGAACACACCTACCCTGGCTAGACAACAGTTAAATAAAGGTATGAACCATTAAAATCCTTTGTACTCTCAGCACTTCACAGAAAAGTTTTCTATGGGATGCAAGTTGTTAAGTTCCTGGGTGTGGGGTGGGGACACATACAGGGTAGGAGCAGACAGAGGGACTATCTTAAGTCAAAGTTTGAAAGACAATTCCTAAAGTCTCACATAGGCTATGAGTTACTGGCATTTAGCTATTCAATATATAGAAGCACAGTACTTTAGAGAAATACAAAGAAACGCTTTTTTAAAATATAGGTATATAAATTAACGAAATTGGTATTTAAAAGGTTTAATACAAGGGGGAGTACCAATTCTTAATACAAATTATTAAGCATAGTTTATATAATTTCAAATGTTATTCACATTATTGCTCGATACCACAACTAAATGGAACAAGTTCATGACACACATTAAAATGTGTATAATTTTAGGTTTATAAAAAACAAAGTCTACATATAGGCCATTCAGAAATGTATGGTGTGGAGATATGTACAACCAAACAGAAAAAAACACAAGTATTATGTGTATATTTAGAAGCAATAAGCTAACCTGATCTGCTTAAATATCCAATTTTCAATCAAAAAAGTATGTAACTAGATTGAAAGTGAACGGGAAGACTGAAAACAGTATAAAATATACTCTCCATTTCTTAGTAACTAGCTGCTCTACATACCTTCCCACTAGTGGGGCATTAAATACCAGATGATTTTTAACTCTAAAACTTTGTTTTCTTTCCAAACTATTCAGAAACACATCCATTCTACAATCATGTTAGATTGGGAATCGTTTTACTTTTAATTTTAAAAGGGACAACTCTCTACTTCTGTCTGTACGATTTGCTTAGCGATACACATGACCCAAGTACAGCTTCCTTACTGCCCTGTCCATTGCAAGTCTGCAGAGTGATGCCACTGTAAGGTGAGCCTGAGCTCCAGCGGCCACAGATGCATGCACACCATTGGTGATGTGTCTACTCTAGGGAAATCAACACTTCTTCATAAAGTTAAGGTGTATCTGCTGAGGCTGAGCATAAGGAACTGTGTAAGAAAGGTCAGCTCAGGGCCCAAAAGGCTATGTGAGAAAACTTGAAGTTTTCAAATAACTATTGTGGTAAATTCTAAAGAGAAGGAAAAAAACAAAACAAAACAAAAAACAGTACAAGAGCATGTTATAACAAATAACAAGTATTTTTCTAGGTTAAGGAATTGATAAAGGACTGTGTGAACCTTGTTGACAAAATAACAAAGGCTGGCCATGTTTATGCTAAGTTCAAATGTATTTTTTTTTGAGAATACAAAAAGTAATCCTTGAAAATCAGAATATATAACAGAAAAGAGCACAATAACTTAAGTATTAAACATCTGTATGAAATAACTTGCAAAGTTTGACAAATATGCACACATAGAACATGCGGTTATTTAAAAAACAAAACAAACAAAAACACCACCCGATTCTGTAGAACCAGCATCATCATATCACCAGCAGGAGAGCACCAAGCAAGGCACCATTGGAAAGACAACACACTTGGAAAGTCTCTATAAATAAAGCAAATGCTAATCTGGTCGAAAAATCGGTGTCTTTGGTAAAAATTCTATGAGGATGACCTGTAAAAGGAGAAGAAAAAGGTTTTAAGCAACATAAAACATTTTTTAACTTTAAAACACCAGTCATATTCTTAAACCAAAAACAAATACAAAAAAAAACTTTCACAGATAAAGCCATCTTTATAATTAAAAATTTATTTGATGCGAATGATTGCTAAAGGTAGAAACTATTTTTTCACAGAAATCTGACATGGAGGGTCATACGCCTGGTTAACCATCTGTGCCAGGAACTTTCATTTTCACTCAAGTTCTACTGGCTTCTTTCTCTAGTTACCCTGCAGGAAGCCTTCGGTGTCACCCAGGCCACTTTCCTGACCTCAGATGAGCCCACTAGCTTCCTAGTACAATATGTGCTCACTGAGAATAAGTACTGTTGAGTGCTCAGCACTAATCAGTGTCTCTATTACTCACCCCATTACTCAGATAACATTAAGAAAGAAGGGGAGAGAAGAGTGTTAAGAACCCTGTCTTCTGGGCAGGACAGGCTTGTTTCACACATGAACTCAGAACATCTGTGGTTACCTGCACATCATTTTACAGGTCAAGATTCCAGGGCAGATGGGGAAAGGGCTCGGGTAACCTCACCCCTTGGCTGGGGAATTACTGGCAATTCATAGCTGCTGGGAGAGGAACAGTCATGTAGGTACTGGTAAATTCCCCATGATCCAGTAAACAATCTTTGACAAATGCACATGCCAGCAATCCTAATTAAATCCCGAAGATAAAGGAAGGAAGGAAGGAAGGAAGGAAGGAAGGAAGGAAGGAAGGAAGGAAGGAAGGAAGGAAGGAAGGAAGGAAGGAAGGGAGGGAGGAAGAAGGGAGAAAGGGAGAAAGGGAGGAAGGAAAGAAGGAAGAAAGGAAGGGATAAATAAACATGAGTAAGAGGAGGTTGTGTTTGGAAGAAGGGTTCCAGAGGAATTGGGAATAGAAGTAAGAATAATTGGGTGGGTGGGTAGGCGGGGCAACAAAATACATTTTATACATGTTTGAAATTGTCTAAGTATAACTGAAGTGTAGAGTTAAAAGTTTTCAGGGCTGGAAAGACAGCGTAATAGTCACACACACTGGCTGCTCTTGCAGAGGACCTGGATTTTGTTCCCAGCAACAACATGGTGGCTCACAACTGTAGCTCCAGTTCCAGGGTATACAATGCCCTCTTCTGCCCTTCAACAGCACAGACACAAATGTGGTGCATAGACATACATGCAGGCAAAACACTCACACATATAAAATAAAAATACACTCAAAAAGTGGGTTTTATCCTCCACCCATCTTCTTTATTTGTGTTCAATTTCCCTGTTACTCATGTTCTTCACCTATAAATAAATGGATTGGACCAAATAAAAAAGTTCTTTGTAGCTCTAGAAGTTAATGATTAATATTTAAATAACATACAAGTTCATACTGAATAAATACTTCGGTACTCAAACACATCTTCCACTGTAGTGTTTTAAAATTTTAGGCTCTAGGGGTGAGCATACCATTTTACAATATAAATGCAAAATGTAAAACAGTGGATGTTTTATGATTTTATGTACATTTGTGTTTTGCATATATATATATATATATGCACTATTTGTTGTGTGTGTATGTATATGGATATGTGTGTGTGTGTGTGTGTGTGTGTGTAATATGTGCACACTATGTGTAAGCCTAATGCCCACTGAGGTTACAGAGCATTTCAGATCCTCTCAGCTGAAGTTATAGGCAGTTATTAGCTGACATGGAGCTGCTGAGAATTGAACCCAGGTCCTCTGTAAATGTTAACAAGTGCTCTTAACTCCAACCCAAAATGGCTTTTTGAGACTATCTGAATTTGCCTTAGTTTTGAAAGAACAGTGACCTGAAAACAATTTTGTTCACAATACTTGAATAACAACAAAAATAGTTTTTCACTGGAATTTTTTTCTAGGTTATCTCTAACAGTCAAAATATCATCAAGAGGAAGTACTTCAATATAACAAAAAGAAGTTGTGCTGGGTGTGGTGGTGCATGCCTTTGATCACAGCACTCAGGGAGGCAGAGGCAGGAGGATCTCTGTGAGTTTTCGGTAAGCTGGGTCTACAAAGAAAGTCCAGGACAGACAAGGCTACACAAAGAAAACTGTCTCAAAAAACAAATAAAGCTCTAGGCAAAGATTTATGCACAGTAGAAAGGCTCAAGATAAATCAGGCATTTTCTTCTTACTAGACTATGTGTGATTATGACATTGAAATGCTTTCAAATAACTTTTCAAGCTTTATTTACTCCTATTTTCAACTACCACAAATATACATATTCTAAGAATATCTTTTTAAATATCACTTTAAAAACCAATTTTAAGCTGGGCATGATTGTGCACGCCTGTAATCGCAGCATTTGGGAAGCAGAGGCAAGCAGATCTCTGAGTTCAAGGCCAGCCAGCTATACAGCAAGTTCCTGGACAGCCAAGGCTACACAGTGAACTGCTGTCTTGAAAAGACACACACACAAAGAAAAAAAAAAGGAAGAAAGAAAAATAAGCATTTGTTATACCTTCTATGATCATGTGAAACACAATTTAAAAATGCTTAATTATATAAAAATTCAAGGTAAATAAATGTTTCATTAAGTGTACAGTTCAGGATGTTTTAAAGCACTACTAATTTAATTGTAATGGAAGAATTTCTTAAAAATAAAAGAAAATCCAGCACATACACTGTATGAATGAACGTTTTTCATATAGCTCCACTTGGAAATTATTATTTCCCCTAAAATGTCCCAACAGGTAACAAACCTCTTACCATGAATGATGAAATGACTAGTACCTGCCCAGTTCAAGCTGTTCCCTTTTAATGGTTATAAAGCAGCAGCAATCTCAAAAAACATGTGATGTTGTAAAAGTAAAACCTAAATTACTTAGTTTATGAATTGAGAGAGTTTCAGGGTTGAGGATGAAATATCTCTGATGTTCAAGGGGTGAAAGATTCTGCTGTTTAATAATGAAAGAAAACCAGGAAAAGGTTTTGTGAGTATTTTCTAACTATTTAAACACTTAAAAATAATCAATTGTTTACATATACATACGATCAGGGTTGTAAGTTGCAAAGAACAGAGAAAATTCTTCAGAAATGTTACACCAGGTCCTTCACAAAGACTGGTTTTAGTTTCAACAATTAACTCCTTTCTTAAATTGTTTTCTTTTAATCTAATAACTTCTCTGTGTTTTAAAGTAAAAAAAAACAAAACAAAAAACCCTCAAGCTCAAGGGAAAATTAATAAATTCATAATTACTTAAAGTATTCTGAACTTTTCAAAAGAAGAACAATTATTCAAATAAGCCAGGGCATCAATAAATTAAATTTCTAAAATAACTGTGTGTACATGTATGCATGTGTATGCAAAATTAGCCATCTTTTAAAGGACAAAACCGGTTGGTCAAAAGGTAACTTAATATACAAAGCAGTGTTCTAGTAACACTTTGGAAAACCCTCTACAGCTTCGAGGAGCACAGGCAGCCAGTCTGTAAAAGGCGTCTCAGGCTCCAGCGGCTTGGCTGAAAGGTTCTCTTCCATACTTGGAAACTCATTAGCATTATATAAAACGCCATATCTGACGTGCTGCATAACCAAGGTTGTGGTTATTCTTTACACAGCATCTAAAATTTCACACTCCATCAACACATGTTCAGGCCATTTTATCTTGGCAATTAATTTATTATTTTTCAGAACACAGTGAAGCCTTGTTTTCAAGTCATTCATAACTTTATAAATCAGTCTTGCACATGAAACCCAGGCATCTGCGAACCGTAGAAAATCCTTGCACTGGGGAGATTAAGCTCCTGACACCTTTGCTGATTAATAATCACAGAAAGAATAAGATCAGAAACAAAATAAATGATCATTTAATAGAGAAACTCACAAAACAGCCCTTTAACTTACATATTCCATCATGTTGTTCGTTTCACATTTCCTTTTGCTCAGTCTCCAATGCAAGCACAGCTAGACACGAAGGAGAGCAAAAGAAGAGAAATGAGCTCCATTTTCCTGGGCACAAGACTCAGCCACTTGTCCACCTTTCATATTTTAGTCCAACAAAAGCATCTGTTTCCATACTGTGCAATTCAGACCCCAACAGTACGAAGCTGCTCCCCGCAGTACTCACCTTGTGGTATAACCTATTGTTTTCCCATTCTAATAACTTCTCAATCGATCTTCGTGTCTGGAAGACAAATGAGGGGAAAGTTTACTCTTGACTGGTTTTAGAAAAGCTGTTTTGCAGCTGCTTTTTGTGTGAAAAGGGAAGAAGTATAAAACGATGACAAGGCAAGAGTGGTCTGTCCTCTGCATGTTCCAGCACTAAGCAGTAACCTCATCACAAACAGTGGTTTGTAAGCAAAAGTGAATTTTCTTTTAAAGACATATGTAAATATTTTAAAATGTTTCACTTACTAGCTTCTGACTTATACCTAGTAGCCTAAAAATCAAATGTCATTTACCAATTTAAAGTTAAATCCCCATTTGTTTAGGCAACATTTTACAGTATTTAAATAGTAATTAAGATTCCTTACTCTCTATTTTAAAACGATAACAATTTAAATATTAGTTAACAAAATATAAGTGGCTTTCAGGGTAATTCTCAAAAAAAAAAATCCTGATAATTGAAGGTCATACAAATTTTAGGATTGTACAAGAAAACCAGTACGCTGGCTACTGCAGTTCTCAAACACAGCCAAACTTTTATTAAAGTGCTATCTCAGAGTAAAGTCCGACCCTAGTCCCATGGTACTAATCTCCCTAAACTGCTGCAATGTAGACGATGAGGCATGGACCACTTTCTGCTTGAAAGTATGAATAAAGAGCTAATGTGGGGAGCCAGGTGTCAGAGGAGACTACAACTCTGCAGGTGTAGAAGTGACAGCGCTGCCACAAGATCAACTGCAACTTGCTGCAGCTGCTGCTCTCTAAGAAGGAAGAGGCATCCACTGAGCATAAATGTGGCATAACTGTAAATAAGTTCTGACAATCACGACCTGCACGCCAACCACGGGTGGGTGAAGTGAAAACTGATAGGAACAAGCTGGTTTTGAACACTGTTACATAAAAAGTTAGGATTTATTTAAAGTCTCTACTGTAATCCAGTTCCACTGTTAAACTTCAGCACGCTCAACAGCTATAAAAACACTGAAGTCATATAGTTGCCAATTATAGTTCATAGCTACCAACAAATTACCACGAGTGCTTATATTTTCCTACTTTATGTTATAAAAATAAGAAAATCAACTACTTTCTGACAATAATATGTCAATGACTAATTTATTACAATTTTTGAACAGTCTTTTTGGCAAGAATTTTAAAGAAAAAGTGCCCTTGTTAGCAATGATCAGCAGCCCTCACTTGTTTCTTTGTAAGATAGCCTTTTAGAGGCAGCTCTCCTTTTAAATGAAAATAGGGCAGCAGTTATGGTCACACTTTTTGTTAATTTAGTTGCCAGTCAGCCCCAAATCAAAAGAAAATAAGGCTGCAGAGTGTAATTAACATTCAGTTCAGTCGTTTTGTCCCTTGTCTAGCCCCCAAGCTTTGTTAAAATTGCCATCTGAATGCTGAAGGCTGTAGGGAAATCGATTTGATTCTAATCGCACCATGAAAAGAACATGATCTAACTGCTTTCAGCCCTCCGTAAATCTGTACTAGGTCTTTAGCACAATGCAACTTCCAATTTAAAAAGCACTGAATGTCTCGTCAATGACTTTGTGAAGAAAAAAGAACAAGGAGCAGACATAAAAATTCCAATAGTTGTTTAAGCATTAAAGTTCATTTGCATCACAGCGAACCTGAAAAGGGCTGACCTCTCAAACCGCCTCTCAGGTCTATGAAGTTGTAGCCTTGACAAGCTCACATTGACAGAGCTCATTGACTCTGAAAGGCTACTCTATCAATGGTGAAAAACGGCAATAGGTTCTACTATGAGCAGGCATCTGCCTGCCCACCCGCTGCTAAACCAATGGTAAAACCATTTCAAAACCTGAATCCACCTTGTAATCTTCCTTTCTAGGATCCTTTAATAATAGATTAAGATTACTATACAATTTGAGGTTTTACTTTTACTGATGGCTTAAAAGGGGATAGGGGAAATTAAAGAAATAGGGTAGGAAAAAGTAGCTTTTGAAGTCTGTTGTTTTATATTAAAATTATATAAAAATAGTTTCTAAAAACCTAACACTACATTCTGCAAACATTTATTACTCAAAGAGTTTTTACCATATCATCAAGTTATCAGACATTTAAGCCATGCTATACAGTGGTAACATCTAATTATCATACATACACATACACACATATCCATGGCATTTACCAACCTAATATTTGTTTACTTAAGTCAACCAGCATACCAGTATCTGTGTAAAAGAAAATTACAAAGTATAAATTTTAAATTCTAAGATATTTATGTAGGAACTTTAAATTTATTCTTTGCCTCTAATTAGGAGTTTAATGACAGTGCTGGGTATAATAACTGTATCCCACAATATTAAGAATTCTAAAGCAAACAAAGTTTGCTATGCCATATTCTGTATAATCGTCTAAATATTCAATATCTGTACAATGTTGGAGTCTGAAATAAAGCTGTGAATTAGCACCATCTAATCTTACTATAAGACTTCTTTCCTGCTTGACAGGTGAAAAAAAGGCACTTGCACGTGCAGCTCAATTAATCACTGCACTTGACATCTCAATGATTTACAGCGAGGAGCAGGTGAGAACACACAAAACCAGAAAGGAACCCTTGATTTGAGTAGAACATTTCTAGCACACTAAGGTGACAAGTATAGTGATTCTAGTAATGATTTTTTAAAAAAAAGTAAAAAAAAGAAACTGTGCCACAAATTATTTGTTAGTAACAACAAAAGATCAAATTAAATGAAAGAAAAAAGGTTTAACTATAGAGAATGTTTCATACTATGCAATTATTTTCAGTTCACAAAATCAAAATATATTTTCAAGACGAAGTACAATACCAATTTGGCAGATAGTGGAGGAAATATGACATTTCAGTATTATAAAAGCTATTTCAAAGCTTTTAAACTTCAATGGAAAGAAAGCACATTAATTACAGTCATCTAGAAATAAAAGTTAAGAGTTTATGTCCACAGAGTTGTCAGATAGCTATTCTAATGAAATATAAAATTGAACACAGCCAAACCTGATATCTTTTAACTGGACAAGCAAATCTTATCATATAAATACCTGTCATTTAATTTTAAGTAATTTTAAGTAATTAAACTGCCTTAAAAAATTCAAAATATTTTAAGTTAATATGGATAAGAAAAAAATACACACATATAACATGAAATACCAACAAAATATTATCCTTCTAGGCCACCTTCTAAAAATACATCATATTAGCTTTCTTAAAAGAATTCAGTGCTTGAGAAAAACACCAGATTGATAGCCATGGGAACTAAAAAATCTTCTGCTTAGCTGAAAGAGCAGGAGAAAGGGCAGCGCAGGCAGGCTTCAGTACAAGTTCCCTACAGTGGGTCTTAATCCTTTTCAGTACTCACCCTGGGATAGAAAAACAGGTTGGTTAGTGGTTCTTTACCATGAATTCTCAGTTCTTTTGCCTAGGCTGCCAACAAGAAACCTACTTTTATCACATGGAGTCTTGAATTAAAAGGACCAAGACCACCAACTTACAACACATAAGCAAAACCAGTCTCTGTAAGGTTCTATCTACCACACAGTGAACCTAGGTTGGAAGGGCAGCTCCAAGTACCCAGACCCCATCAACTGCCCTCATTCTCAACAATTTCTAAAACAATAATATTTACATATTTTCATTTCAACGTCTTCACAGTTATATTTTTCCCACTGTTAGCTAGCTCTAATATAGTTGCTTGGCTATACTTGAATGGCTAAAATTCAAAAACATTTCAATTACTGAAAAGGCAGTATAGACTTAAGCTAAGTATTTGGGTTTATTTTTGTTTCATTTGCGACAAATTTTTGACAGAACTGTGGAAAAGAGTAGGACATAAAAATTACAAAGAAAATTAAAAGATTAGAATTCATAAAATGGCTAAGAGGATGATTAATCAACAATTAATAGTAAATATGGCATAAAGTTTTATCTTCTAAAAAAGAATTGAGAAGTAATTTAAACTAAGCTTAAAACAGTAAAGCATTAACCACAAAAAACTTAACTACTAAAATAGAAAATTAAGGTTTCCTCAAAATTAAATTTCAATTTACTAAAAGATCTTTTTGTAATCGTCCCTAAACATTCTGCCTTCCTGATAAATAAAGTATTACTCCTATACACAAGTTCACATTCTGACTGTAAAACAAGTGAAATTTTCAGGACAAGGAACCAGTTACATCTTGAATTTGTTACCACCATAAATAGTCATCTCCAGTGACTAATTTATCAACATTAAGTTGAATGAAAAGTTTTTCAAATTTTGACAACCATTTACAAAAGTTCAACAACTTAAACCTACAATTAAAACTTATTTGAACTAGATTTGTTCATTTTATTAAACAATGTCAAGACAAATGTTCAATTTCTTATTTAAAACATTTTGAAATTCAACTGAGTCTGTAATTAAGATTTAACTAGAATAATACCTCTAATACATTCATAATTTTATTTTTAACCTTAACATGTTTTTCAAATAAGGACCCATCCTTATGCATTTATACAAACGGGAACTGTGGAAATGAGTGCAACAACAGTGTTCTCTTGTTTGGCTAATAGAAGGAAACTATAAATTATTTTAACTTAAAGAGACATGATTCCTTCTGTTTGTTCTGGATTAATATTAAATCTCACATTCCAATATAAAGCTGAAACTCAAAAAGTATATCTTGGTATAATTACACATAAAAAACCTGGAACTTGCCAAGATAAACAACAATATGAACTGGTTCCTCAAAGGAAATTTCCCTCTGGTATGTAAAAACTCTTCTCAAACTCTGCACATGAACACTGACTTTCAGACAGTGTAGCTGCAGTAAGGCAACCTTGACCAGCGGTTAGGACATGTCATGGCGTTCAGGGAGTGACAAGAGACCTCAACAACTGAGAGCACTTGCCCAGCAGAAACACCCTCTTCCTGGAGCACTCAATGGTGACTTTAAAGGAGCTCAGTAACACACAGCTGCATGGCATTTCATCAGGTTAGTAAGTGAATCCTAATTTTTTTCTAGGTTACATTGGTACTT